AATCACTTAAAGGGAATCCAACGTTTTCTTATGCAGCTTGTGAAATATTTTATCTCTTATCTAGCTGTGATCAGAAACAGGATTTTTCCAATCTCCTTAATGGTCAGTGTCAAAAAGAACATTTCCTGAGAATGTGAAGGCAGAGAAAAGTCTTCTTGAGTTTAGGTATCTGAGGATGGGCAATGACAAATCACCCTGTTTGCAAATGTGAGCTGGCACTAAAATCTGATGAAGGAAAAAAGGGCTTTGCTCTCATCAAATATATTTTTCATTTAAATTGTTTATTAAAAGAAGAAAGATCAAGTGTTGTCATCCCATTTTTGTAGTCGCTGTGATCAACTTCATTAAAACAAGCACTTGAGAGCCTTTTTAAAACACAGAACTTCACTGCAAGAGCAGACACAGGGGAAAAAAAAAAAGGAGAAGTACATTAAACCACATCACAAGTTATCCTGCTGATGAGGCTTCCTGGCAAAAAAAAAAAAAAAGTTCTTATCTCGTGCTCTGAACTGTCTGTTGTAAATCCTGCCCTGTGGGCTGCAGACACAGAAAAACCTGTGGGTTGCTGGGCTCACACCTGCCTCTGAAGTTGTGCTTGAAGGGATCTCTCTGCTGTCTGATACAATCTCTCTGACCTTTTATCTGATGAGCTGTTGCTCCCCGCGCCTTACAACTGACAATCCTTCCCAACTGTCCTCAAAGAACATCAGGGGAAACTAAAAGGGATTTGGGACTGCTTTAGATACTCATTTGTTTAGTAGTTACTCCCAACATAAACCAGTTTAATCAAAGCTGTCAAATCCGGCAGAGGAAGTACAGGCCCTTTACTAGTTATAAAACCCCCCTGGATTTCTGGGCTTCAAAAACCCCACTTTTTAGAGCCATCTCACCAATCCTAAGGTCCAGGCTGGGCCATACAATATTTGTGTAGTTCCCTTGGCTACTTTGGGATGAACAACTGATGCGTGGACGGCCAGATTCCATTCCACAATCTTTGCATTTTGTTCCTGCTTGTATCTCTCCCAAGTCCTCATTTTACTCTCTGTTTTTACTGTGACTCACTGTTCTACAAGCAGATTGTGTGAAGGAAAACCAACCTGCTGCTGCCTGTTTTGCGTTACAGCCTTGGAACTTCTCAGCTTATGTGGCCGTGTCTAATGGCAGCTGATCTTAAAGAGATTTATATTGACAAAATGAAGACTTTGGAAGACTTAAATTTAACCTGACAGGTACAACTAGAATTAAAATGCCCCATCTATCTGGCAGCAGAGGCACAAACATTCTTTAACATGAAATTTAGTCTCGCTCTATGCACAGCAACCAAATTAAGCAATGCATTTTGGCACAGCAATGGGTAAACTATGACTGTCTTTTACTACACAACTCACCAGGCAGATTTTTTGCAATGCCTGTGCACTAAGCAATAACTAGGAAATTACACATGCAAAGGCAATGACTCCAGACTCTCCAGAGTCCCTGCACTGTTTGAATCACATTCCCATTTGCACTACAGACACCCAGTACACAGGAGACCTACTTTCCCACTGGAGAGGAGCAGGCTAACAGCAGTCACCACACCAAGAGCACTTCATGTGTAATTAAACTTAAGTATCTTAAATAATAAAAACACAACATGTTAATATAATGGATGAATATATATATATCCATTCACATAACATTGCTTTTCACTCAAGAAGGCCATTTAAACAAAGATATTTAAGCATATATTTTAATCCTAACTACCTTTTTTATTGGTCTCCTTGCCTGCTTCAAACTGAAGCTGCCAATCAAAGGAGTCTGAAGAGGAACTACATCTGTGCACAACGTTCTTTTCGCACATGAAACCACAATGAAGTCACTGAGGCCTCTGTCGTAAAAGTCTGTTCCTATGAAAGGACCTGAGGTACAGAGACACCCTTTGCTGAGCTGCCAGACCTGCTGGAGACAGGAAAACCCCCAATTCTGTCTGAAATATTTAAACTGGTCATTAACAAAAATAATTCTAGGGAAGATTAGTTACCATACAACAGCATCTCACCCAAATCAGCTGGAGCTGTTTCAGGCTGCACCAACTATACCCACACCATAAAGTTTCTTTTAAAGCTGCACAGATCTCTAAGATACGGGTCCCTTATGTGAATTATTCTCCCATCCTATATTGCACTTTATTTCTATTAAGCAGAAGTCCTTTTACAACCACACACAAAGAGATTTACAGCTCCACATTCCCCTTCCCTGAGGAAACAGTGTCTCTGTGCAAATTCTACTTCATTGCCACCCACCATCACAACATGAAAACATCTTCCCAAAAGAGAAGGCAGAAGCTGCACAGAACATGGAAGCTACTCCCAACATGCAAAAATCATAGAAAAGTCAGTCAAAGTTTGTAGGAAGACAAACTTTATTATATGTCTATTTGGGAAAACATGGATATTTCACCAGCTCTTCTGTTTGAAAAATTCAGGCTATTTCTGAGTAACTCTGGTGACTCAGTTGTTCAAAATGGTAAAAGTAATGTTCAGTTCCTGTGACTGACACAGGGAGTGAGGCCAGGAGTGTTCAGAGAATTTCAGCTGAATGAGAAAAAACAGGAAATAGTGTCACTCAAGAGCTATTGCTTTGCCAATTTGTCTCCCTCAAAAATAAAATAAGTTTTCTATAACAAATCGCTTCTTAAAGTTGATATAACAGACAGGGGTTTTTTTCCAGCTCTGTGGCAGATGTGGCACTTCTGAAACTACTCTGTTTTTCTAACTTTATGTATAGACTTCTCTTTGGTTTGTCACAATGCAGAAAGAGATGCTGAAAATTTCCTTCATTATTTTCATCATTATGTTTTGCCATGTTTAGGGTGAGAGGAGAGTTAATTCCTTTTGAATTGAAGCCCCTTGTTCAGAAAGGAACATGACAGAGCTTTACACTTAAATTCTGAGACTCTCTCTTCTTCCTCTTTTGTACCCTGCCCACTGCAAAGTGTCCAGTAAACCAGGTTCAAAATATCATCAAAATAAGAAACAGTTAAAATAATTATTTTAATATGTTGTCAACCTACTATAGCACCAAGTACTCTTTGAAAGACCACTGTGTAATTCCAGGCTCAATACACATTCTGACATCCTCACCTGGTTTCCTGAACCTTTGTCTTATCAAGCCTAAATTCCTATGATTAAATAAACATGTAGATAACATGAATATCCCACGAAAACACAACGACCTGGACATCTCAGCAGCATTTCCATATTAGCCTTCACAATCCTGGACATTTTAAAACCAGACAGAAAAATGCCACTGATAGACCAGTACAGCAAGCACAGAATCCAAGACAAACAGATCCCAGGGAGCTCTTTGGTTGAAGCAGTTACAAGCCCTCATTGCCCAAGAGTGGTACAGCTGGACACAAGAGAGAACAGGCACAGCTGGAAGGAGAGAACAGTCCCAGCTGCAGCACATCAGGTCTGCACTGTAAATTAAAAGGCTTTTCTACGTAAATAAGGAAGAGTTCTAGGGAACCAACAGAGCACAACAAGCTCTTCCTGTTTGAACAACGGTGTAAAATGCGTATGAATTTACACCCTGCACTTGCCAGGACACTCACAATTTTTACAAATACTCACACAAGCCTGAAAAACCAACCTATTCCCAATGAAAATGCAGGAAAAACGGTTTGATGTTGCTTTGGGAAGCCAAGAAAAACAACGACATAGCCAAGGGGAGCAGGGTGAGCTTTAAAGGAGTCTTAAGAGCGGGACTTGAGGCTGCTGTAGAGATCGCAGCGAGTTCTGTGTAAGCGGGGGCAGACGGGTGACAAGGGCTACAAAGGTGACACGGTGCCCACGGGTGACAAGGGGCCGGCAGGTGACAGAGGGCAGACAGGTGACAAGGGCAGAGAAGTGCCAAGGGGCGGACAAATGGCCAGGGGCGGACAGGTGCCAAGGGCAGAGAGGTGACACGGGGCGGGCAGGTGACTCACCCACCCCACGGTGACACGATGCCCGCCCGCAGCGCATCTCCGGGAGCGGCCCCCCGAGGCGATGCCCTCCCGCGTCCCACCCGCAGCGCTCCCCGCGCCCCAGGAGCGGCGGGCAGACCCCCGCAGCCCCCGCAGCCCCCGCACAGCCCCGGCCCGCACTCACCCGCCCGCCCGCGGTCCGGAGCAGCCCCACGAGCAGCGCCCAGCGCGGCCACATCGCGCCGCGAGTGCGCGGGGCGGGGACGGGGCGGCCCCGGGGTGGGAGCGGCCCCGCGATGTGCCGGCGGTGCTGCCCCGTGCCCGCACACCCGAGCTGCTCACGGGAGGCTCTCGGCGTGGGGGGACCACACAGTCACAGAATATGCCGAGTTGGAGGCGTCCCACAAGCATCATCGAGTCCAGCCCTCAGCCCTGCACGGGACCATCCTCAAGAGTCACATCGTGTGCCCGAGAGTACCATCCGAACTCTTCTTGAGCTCTGTGAGGTTTGGTGCTGTGACCACTGCCCTGGAGGGTCTCTTTAGTCCTATTTGTGCTCCACTCATAGAATATCCTGAGTTGTATCATCTCCTGGACTCCACCCCAAAATACGAACTTACCTTTTGCAGCATCCCAGCATTCATTGATATCCATCCCATCATTCGATACCCATCCCAGCATTCATTGATATCCCCCCAGCATTTATTAATACCCATCCCAGCATTCATTGATACCCATCCCAGCATTCATTGATACCCATCCCAGCATTCATTGATACCCCCCCAGCATTTATTAATACCCATCCCAGCATTCATTGATACCCATCCCAGCATTCATTGATACCCATCCCAGCATTCATTGATACCCCC